AAAATGTAGCCCCGAGAGCTCGGGGGCGGGGCCGGGGCGCTGGCTGGAAAACGCTGGAGGCGGGGCCAGAAAGTTTTGCCTGATCTGGAAGTGGGTCCAGGTCCCTGGCGGGGAAGTCAGGGGCGGGTCTAGAGGCTGACGCGAAGGCGAGGGCGGGATCCAAAAGTTGCCGGGGGATTAAGGGGCGGGGCCAGGGTCCTGGCCGGGGAAGTGCTGGGGTGGAGCCAGAAAGTTTTGCTGGAGCCCGGGGGGCAAGTTCAGAGCTTTGGCGGGGAAGCCGGCAGCCCCGTGGCTGGGGGGGCCGGGGGTGGGGCCAAATATTGACTCGACCTGGAAGGGGCGGGAGCCAGGGGGCGTGACTAGAAAGTCGGTTGGTTAAGCCGGAGGCGTGGCCGGTGAGAGCTGGCGAGCCGGGGGCGGGGCCGGCGTAATAACGCGAGAAGGAGGGGGCGGGTTCCAGCTGTTGCTTAGGGACGGGGGGTGGGGCCAGAAGGTTGGTGGGGGAAGTCGGAAGCTGGGCCAGAGCAATGACACCAAGTGTGGGCGGGGCCAGAAAGTTTGCCCCGGCGGGGGGGCGGGGCCATAGCGTTCCAGACGGGGTGGATGCTGGCGCTCTTTCCTGTTAAGCCACGGGCGGGTCGGGGAAACTCCGCGTCCGGGCCGGGAGAGCATCACTGGGGAGGTCGGGCCAGGCGCAGGAAGCCTCGCCAGTGGGTACCGGGCCTGTTTTCGGAATCTTTGCAGGGAGGCAGCTGCATTATTTTCGCGATGGTGGGATCGCGGCTGGGACCACCCTGAGGGAGGCGTGGGTTTAGGATGTTCTCTGGGCGTCGGGGCAGCCTGTTGGAGTGGGGTTCGAGCTCTTTTAGAGTGTGTAGTTATGGGATGTTTCTGAAACTTTCCTGGGAAAGAAGTGAACTTAGAATGTTCACTGGAATGTGAGCGGCATCACAATGGGCACAGGGAGGTGGGCCTAGAACTTCCTTGTACAGGTTGGGGGGCGGGGAGGATGTAGCTAAAGCTCTCCTGAGATGGAGGCCCGGTTAAAACTCTCAGCACAGGGTGTGGAGGCTGGACTGGGGAACTTCGTTTGGAGGGAAGCCGCGTTAGCTGGTTTCTTAAGCTGTGGAGTGGGGCAGAACTTTCCTAAGGTGGGTGTGACGCTAGTGTTTACAGGGAAATGGGTGGGTCCAGATGTTCACAGGGGGCGGAGCTTAAAATTTTCCAGGTAAGGGGCGGGCTGGTATTTCAAGTAGAGCACTTGAGAGTGAGGGCCGGAATTCTTTTGGGGTGCAGGTGTGTGTGTGTGTGTATGTGTATACTATGATGGGAGAGAGGAAGCAGGTTGGGGTGGGGGCATTGGCCTTAGTTCTGTTGTTTCTTCTGCTCTCAGGAACCCCCAGTGCTGTATCCACATTTTGTAGGGAAGGTTTGCTGGGACCCTGGCCCCACCCAGTCAGCAGAATGGTGAGATGGCAGGTTCTGAATCTGAGCTTTGCAGCAGGGGGCTTGGGAGGAGGGGGTCCAGGTGCCAGACTCAGAACTTGGTTTTTCTTACTGTCTCTCAACTGTCTCCCTGTCTCAGTCAGCCACGCTGGATCTGAAATCGAAGGAGGAGAAGGATGCTGAATTGGACAAGAGGATCGAGGCTCTTCGACGGAAGAATGAGGCCCTCATCCGGCGCTACCAGGTGCCCTAGCCCTGCCCTGGGAGACCCCATCCCCTCTCCTCCCTGCAGTGAGTTTCCCTCCCCTCTCCTTTTCTTAAAACCTTTTCATGGTTTCCCTTCACTCTCAGGATAAAAGCCAAAGGCCTTAGCCTGGCATTCCTTCCTCCATGCCATCATTCCATCGTTCATTCACAAATATTCACCGAGGTCTTTGCTGTACCAGGCCCTGTGCTGAGTGGTGCTGGGGAAACAGCTGTGACTGAGACAGCCCGGGACCTGCCCTTCCAGGGGTGACAGTCAGTGGGGGCACAGAGCTGACTTCAGTCAGTGATGACCCAGAGTAGGCAGGCTGGGATCTTTGGGGGTCTTTGGGAGCCCAGCCTGGAGGATATTATGGAGGGCTTCCTGGAGGAGGGGATTCTGAGACCTGAAGGGTGAGTAGATATTAGCCAGTTGAAAAGTAGAGCAGAGCATGTTTCAAGCAGAGGAAACAGTTTGTGTAAAAACTTGGAGCTTAAAATTAGAGGGTCAGTGGGGAATATTGACCTGGAGAGGTCAGCAGGGGTCAGACTAAGAGTTTGGACTTCTTGAGGGCACTGGGGAGCCATGGAGGGCTTTGAGAGGAGTGGGGCCAGGTCAGAATAGCTTTTTATGAAGACCTCTTCTGGCTGCTGTGTGTGGTGGTGGATGGGGGAAGGCAATGCCGGAGACCAGAGACCAAGGAGGAAGCTGATGCAGGGACCTCGGGGAGAGAGGAGGTGCTTGGCTTGGGACAGAGCAATGGGGAGGGACTCAGTGACTGATGGACAGTGGTGTGAGGTGGACAGGAGTGGGGAGCGTCCAGGACAAGGTCCAGGTCCCTGCCAAAGGTGACAGTAGGTGGTGGGGCTGTCCCAGAGATGGGGCCTGGGAGGAGGATGGGGTTTCATGTATTCATTCTTCATTCATTCATTTAAAAAAAAGCATATTGAGTTTATGTTGTGTGCCAGGCAGTGTTCTAGGCTCCGGGATACATTAGCAAACAAAACAGACAGATGTCCCTGCCCTCAGGCAGATTCTGTTGCAGGGGGAGGCAGACAATAGGCGAAATATACATAACGCCAGGGATGAAGAGGGAGAGGCGGGAGAATGGCAGGGGCGCTGGTCAGGGAAGGCCTGCCTATGAAGGGGAACATTTGAGCGGAGCCCTGAGGAGTGAAGGACAAGGATCTCTGGGGGAAGAGTGTTTTTGGCAGAGGAAGCAGCAGGTGCGAAGGCCCTGAATCAGGTCTGAGCCCGCCATGTTCTAGGAGCAGTGAGGAGGCCGGAGTGAGTGAGTGGGGGAGGGTGGGAGATGAGGCTGTGAGGGAGCCTGCCAGACATACAGAGTCCGTCAGAGACAGACAGACAGTGCCAGGAGAAGAAAGAGACAGGAGAGGGAAGGCAGGTGGACAAGCACACACTCAATGGCAAAAAAAAAAAAAAAAAACAAAAAAGAGTATACACACACACACACACACACACACACACACACACGCACTGGTCAGGACGGGGAGAGAGGGCAGGAGCAGCATGGAGCTCTTTCCTCCCCTGGAAACACTCTTCCCCCAGAGGCCCTCCGCCCCTCACCTCCTTCAGGCTCCGCTCAGATGTTTCCCTTACGCAGAGAGCACCACAGGACGGCTCTGAGCGCGAGCACTTGGCTGCAGTTTGG